TGTTGTTAGTAATACCTTCTTTGAATTAAATACAAAACAACTGGATGTTGTTTAAATACTTAAAAGGAAACTTTCAATGTCAACACTGACTGATAGCAAGACTCTTTGAATTTAGTACCCTTTAGAGTCAGAAGAGGCCTTATTGTGCTCATGTGACAATGATTAAAAATTTGTCAAGTATTTCTCTATGTAATGAGGCTCTGTTGGATCTCATTGGACCTCTGCCTCCAGACAGAATTATATTAATTTTAAGAGACCTGCTTAATCTGAAGAAGCTAGATAAGATTAGAAATGTTGGAAGCAAATTTCCACAAAACTTGAAGTTTCTTCTTTCCTGACCCAGATCAGGTGGGGATATTTGAATCTGGTGCTTTGCTCTGTGTTTGCTTTCAGCTTTCTTTCAATCCTGTACAACGGTCTCCACACCTTCTGCTGAGATGGGGTTCTTAACAGGAATCCTCTGCATGGCAACAGCCCTTGGTTTTGGGTTTTTTGTTTGCTTGTGAAGTGTTGGGTTTGTTTAGGTTTTTTTGGTTTTTTGTGGGTTTTTTTGGGGGGGGGTTGGGGGGTGTCTGTTTTGTTTTGTCTTTTGACAGATGCTACTAGTAGCTTCAAGTAACTGTATACTGGTTTTGCCAAGCATTATTTCTTACAGAGCTTTTTATATAGAAGTGCTTTTCATTATTATTAGTTAGAAGCCTAAGAATTCTTAATATCGTAAGGTGTGCATCCTAGTAGATCAGAAACAGTCTCTTTATTGGCTTAGTAATTTAAATTAATGTTGCATTTCCTGGTGGTTTGAATTTCTTCCTCATCACACCTCTTGAGGGGAAGGCAGAATATCTGTCTGAGACTGTATCAGCATTACTTAGAACTTGCTTGCTTTTTAATATTTAATTACAAAAATAAATGAATATCCCAAGGTTATTTTGCAGCAGTCAAATACATAATTTTCTCTGCAAAAGCTGAATGTGGTATCAAGAAGCCACAAAAATGCTGATATTAGAAACAGCTTATAACATTGGAAATATTAGAAACATTTAAATTCTTTACTGTTACGAATAATGTTACAAAAATGGTTACGCTTTAGATTGTACCTCTAAACTGCTGCAGAAATACACCCCCAAACGTTGTTTGTCTCCCTTGAAAGCAACTACTGCTAATAGTTGCATGCATACTGGTCTGGAACTTCCTTGATAGCACGCACTAATGGATTAGGATAAAGTCTTTCTGCAATTTGATATTTATTTATTAAGTAATTAAATGGCTACAGAGAACTATACGACAAAACTGAGCTTCCATACACTGTTTGCAGGCTTTTCTGGTTAGCTGGGAAGCTGGGGTTGTCCTGATGAAATTGTGTATGTTGCAGACTGAAGAGGGAAGATCTGTCTGCATGTCTTCAGGAGAATTACTGATTTGTCTCCAAAAGATGTACTTGTATCAGTTGTCAACTGAATTTTGCTGTGCGAGTTATTTGCTAAAGGAAAGCTGTTTCTTGGGATCCATTAACTTGATTTATCAAGTTGCTGCTAACCTAAGTAAAGATAGCTTACTTGGCATTGAGTTACTGCTTGTCATACTGCATTGTGCTCTAATGGCAGTGAAGTGCCTGGAAAGCAATTTTATTGTTTGCTTTTATGCCTGTGTAAATAGCTAATTTATCCTAATGACTGGATGGGACATAATTGAAAGTGAGTTTTCAAGGATGTAATATGCATATTAATTATGAGTGTGAACTGGCCATCAGGAAGACTCTTGTCTGCTTGATCCTCTTAATGGTGGTAAACATCGTTATCTTTTCTAATGAGCCATGATGACTGAAAGTAGTACTGTTCTACTCCAGGGGTCTGTTGTGGATGTCTGGTTACAAAAACAATTCCCCCAGAAAATTTTCACGAGATTAAAACTGCTTACAAGACCTCCAGAGCTCCTGCACTTGCAAGATCTAACAGGTTTGGTTTTTTTAAGGCTTATATCCCTGAGAAAGGAGGTAGCATGGGTGGCACTGGATTAGGAAAGCTCACAACTCTGTGCTTGTCTAGTCCCTGTGTGACTTTGGAGAAGTGACTTTGCTTCTGTAAAGTATGGCATGAAAAAGGGTAGTGGTTGCAACCAAAGGCCCTGAAGCATTGAAATGTCAACAGTATCTTGCTACAGGAAACCCCAGTGTGCTGCAGCCAGCAAATGTTTCTGTGCTTTCCTGTTAAAAGGTTAAATACATGGGAGGAAAAAAATGAAATTCAGCTCCTAAGACACACAAAATTCTTTTACACAGTGGAACTGCTAATAGCTTTCATTGAGAGAATGAAAATACTTTGTAGCAGAGACATTGTATCAAATCCATAAAACACTATTATAGAGACCACATTAGAAGCGGCACATATTGTTGGCTTAGTGTCGCTCTTGCCTTGGTTGAAAGATATTTAAATATTTCATAACATATCTTTATAAGTCAGGACTTAAATTTAAATAACCAGTTGGTTCATTGTGACTAAATTGCCTTTCGCAGTTGGTTCATTTCATTCAGCTGCTGGTTTGTGGCTTGATCAGTTTGCAAGTAAAAAATAACCATGGAAAAAGTTAAGCCTGGTTGAAGCAAGTTTTTTTTATTAATGCAAGCACACCCAGTCAAACACGGAATATCCTGCTTTATGGTACAGCTTTATATTTAGCATTTCATCTCAGAATAGCAAAACACGTTATTTAAGGAATGTATCAAACTGAGGGAGGAAAAATAAAAAGGAACCAATGTGGATACTGCATTGATTTCAAGTATATACTAGGACTGATTGACCAGTGAAGTGCACATTCATGTGAAAGCTTTTTTTATACATTTACAGAAAGTATTCTAAAATTGCATTTCAAATATATATTTTTTTTCTTAAATTTTAAGCATCCCTTTTAAATTTCAATTACATAAACAAAGCTGATATACAATCCCTCTTATAGTGTCTGACAATGTTACTAGCTAGAACATCTCTGAAAGTGCAAAACACTGTAATAATACAGTATAAATATTCTTACTCTAATCCAGGGCTGAAGGCCAGGACTTCAGCACAGGAAAAATAGCAGCAGATCGTAAGAATTATCCCTTCCCCTTTTCTGGGCTGTTCTTGTTAACAGTTAGTATTCTACTTCTTCCTTCCTCATGGTATAACTTGCTTGTGTTTCTCTTTGATGCTGATGCTATGAGAATCGCAAAATGTTGATTTATCTCCCTTCCTTAACCCCAACTTACTCTTCTAATTTTGGTATTTGTCAAGGAGGGAGTGGAACAGGGAGAGAGGGAAAGCTCTGAAATTTTTCACTGTACTACAGGGCTAATACAGCAAATAATTTCTACTAAGTGACTGTAGATGCTGTGTGGAACAGTGGCACCGCTCTGGGTTGTAGGCACTCAGCAAGAAGAGTCTAGTGGACTGGAACAGACTAGACCCTTGGTCCAGCAAGTCTTGCCCCTTCTTCAGCAGAAGGCAGAATAAGATAAAACTCATCTACTTAGGGTTGATAATTTTTAAAGAAGCTTGTGCAGAGGTCCTCTGTGAGGCTCTGTGAGGGAGGCTGCAACCACTGTGAACTCTGGATCCTTGTTTTACGAAAAAAAAAATAAAAAAATCCAATTGTCTGGCTCAAGTCATTATCTTTACAAATTTTCAGAAAGGACAGTAGATATTCATGGGTAATAATCTGTTCATTAAACAAAACAGTTTTTAATCTGAGCCTTTTTTTGTTTGTTTTTTGTTTCTTAACTCAGAGATCAGGTGAGAAAATAAGTTCTGGGAATGAATACCCTGAATCTTAACATAAGCTCTTCAGGTGCTCATTTGGGTAGCCAAATTAGGTGTAAACTCAAGGCTAAAAGGAGAAAACAGAAATGGTAAGCATCAGCAGGTTTACAGATCATCTCTAATTTTGGTTCTGACCAGGGTTCAAAGATTTGACCTGTTTCTTATGGTGTTTTCCCTTGGATGTCAATGGGTTCTAGCTCAGACATTTAATCATGGTGTGCAAATTACTAGAAAAAGCTTATATTGTAAGTTGGTCTTTGCTTAAATTGTCTGTAAGCGCAGACTGGCATTTTCAAAGGAAACAAGGGAATTAAATGCCCATTTCAGTGGTGCTGAACTCTCCTTAAACTTCTTTGAAAATTTTAGTCTTAACTTCCAATTGGACATCTGAGTTTGCTTCTCTCTCCCTAGCTCATGTATGATTTTTATTTTCCAAAAACTGTTTTCAAAAAAACACACTGAGCCTGTTTTGCAGAGATAATCTAGGTTAGACAACCTTCTCTTAAACAAAACAAAATCCCTGATTTTTAAAAAGGAAACACAAACTATTCTGACAGCCAGAATTTAAAGGAATAGTTCCCAGAAGTATTTAAACTCAGACATGCGTGCATCTTCACACATGCACGCGCACATACTCACACACAAACGCACATTCCCCAGCAGTTACCCCATCTTATCTCTTTAAAGCACGTAACAAAAATATGTTTGCTGCACCATCAATGTCACAGGCAGGTATACTCTACTTCATGTGCCATATTCTCCATTTTATTTAAAAAGTACGTTGTAGCTGGTTTCAAGACATCCATATTTTTATTTTCTTTACTTCCAGTCCAGCGTAATAGAAGGTACACTAAATGATATCAGTACCTTGTAAGGCACTATCTTCTGATGTAGGAGAGGAACACACTTACTGCAGATGTCTAAGGCCTTGACTCGACAAACACTGACACATGTGAACGGCATCGCTGATCTGAAGGAGATCCTTCACTTCAAAGCTAGAGAGACGTGTTGAGTGTTCTGTAGGATACTGGTCCAATGGAGTAGTTCACCTGAACACTGGCTTTAGTTAGGATGTGTATTTTAATTTTTATAGATTTTGGTGGAAGTAATAAAAAAAAATAAAAATCTGGATGCTGATAGAATAAGATCTCCCCAGGGATACCATCTCCCAAGATACACTTCATCTTTGAGAACAGGGCCCTGCCCTTATATTTAAAATAAAAAAACCAAAACCCTTCACTTAAGTGCCTTAAGGTTGACATGTGAAATATTTACCACATTTTATTTCATAAAAGCTACTGTATATACAAAACAGACCTCAGCCAGTGAGGTCTTCCTTAGCTCAGTCCAAGTCTTTCAGGTTGTAAAAACATGTTCATTTTATGTGCTTTGAAGTCTGCAGATCAGATCCAAAAATCTCAGGCTCTATTAAGCAGAGTTGTCCTAGAAGAAAAAGTAATAAAAAATAAAATTATGTTTTCAATCACGACAAAAAGTTTTACAGTTTTGGTAAAGGTTAGCAATACATCTATCTTGTATCATTAGCTGGAAGCCTTTCTTCATGGGATAGATTTTCAGCTGTTATAAACTGGAATACATCTATTAATTCCAATAAAGTTACTGACTTCAAATTAAATGAAAATTTAACCTTTGTAACATTACTTCAGGCCCTTAAGAGGCACTCGGACAAATAAGGTTGTCCAGAGAAGTTGTGGATGCCCCCTCCCTGGAAGTGTTTAAGGCCAGGCTGGTTGAGGCTTTGAGCAACCTGGTGTAGTGGAAGGTGTCCCTGCTGACGGCAGGGGGGTTGGAACTAGATGTTCTTTAAGGTCCCTCCCAACCCAAACCATTCTATGATTCTATATGTTTCTCTGTCATCCTAAACTATTGCTTACTGAACAAGCACTGGATTTAATGCAAGGTACATTGCATGGGTGTCATAAGCAAAAAGCTTATGTGGACTTCCTAAGAAACACTGGGATCACTGGGAAACAGTGTCTTGTCTAAAACAACACAGTTGTAATGGAGCTCAACTGCAGCTCAGGACATACAGACTTCTTCATTCATTATCTAGTACAGATATGTCAAATCTAAATGTTTAACATGATTTACAAAGGTCTAAATCTCTCTTTCGGCTTTGGCCTCACTATTAGAAGAAATCTCACCTAAACTAACTCATCTCTTCATGTATATGGAAGAGGTGCTTCCCTCTCCCAAACGGGAGGACGAGTTGTTATTGAGATTTTCTCCCTTAAGAGTAGTCTGAAAATCAGAGTATTCATATAGAATTTCATTCTTTTATAAGACTTGTAAGTGCACAGGTATGATAAATGATAGCAACTTCTTAGTAGCTTTATATATTTGTTCCCCTGAGAAAACCATGTCTGAAGACCGCTACAAATATAGATTCTTTTACTGTATTTGATACCCTAAACAAAGCATATTCTCTTTCATAATCCCAACAGTAATCTTGCAACCTGAACTAATCAGGCTGCAAAAGCTGTATCAAAAACTATTGAATTTTTTCAGATTTAAGTTTTGAAGTAAAAATAACTTCAGTTGGGCCAAAATGGTCTTAAGCTGGATATGCAAATAGGAAGGAGGAAGCTGATGATCACGTGCCTGTGTATACCTGCAAAAAGACTCATGTTCTGAGGATGTTTTATACCTGAGTGTTTTCCAGCTGTCTTTTTCCATGTGGTTTTCTGGACCTTCACTTTCAAAGGATGCAATGAACAAAGCTAGCAAATAAAATAAGAACAATCAGATTCAGGTTCTTTAACTGAAAAAAAAAAAAAAAGTCACCATATAGCAGGTGTAACATAGCAGACTTCATTATGAAGTTTATTCTTGTCAGAATCCAAAATGGAAGTGACAATACATACTTATCAAATATTTTTTTGGATGTTAATTTTTTTTATCTGCATATTCTGTCTGCATTTTAACAAGCAGGAAGACTCACTATAATGCTTAATAAAGGTTTTTACCTTCTTCACTATAAATGGGTGCTGTGAGTAGATAGCTCTGGATCTTCTTGTCTTTTTCAAAAGGACATTCGACCTGCTTCCATGTCAGGAAATCATTAATCTGTCTTGAAATTTCCCAGAATTTCTGCATGAGATAACAAATACGATTTTAATATTTTTTTTCTTTCCAATATTAGTAATTTTGTTTCCATTTCAGAGCCTCTCAGTCCTGTTCTTATTCATGCTGCTTCTCTTATTATCTCTTATTATGTCATCTTCCTTGTTATCCTTTCTCCTTACTGCTCCCTTCATCTCTCCCTCTTGCTCCCTAGATCCTTGCCTGTGGTTAGCCTTTCAAGTTTAGAATAGCATGACCTTGATAGCTGCCTGGTCTTTTGCATTCAATTCTTTTCATTGTTAACCTTTTCTTTATGTATAAGAAAGTGCTATTGGCCTGTTTTCTGTGTCTTATCTCTAAATTAGCCCGGGAGTGTAACTGGTCAGTAAATGCTTTTTATTTACTTACTTCAATTTTTACATTTCCAAACATCCAACTTAAATGAAATGTGCCATATCTGATTTTTTCATAAAGCACTTTTTAAATTTAAGAAATAATCAAAATAACATATAGAAACTATAGATATCCTTTCCTTCCTCAGATTTTAAGAAGTGCATCATTACCTGGGGTTTGTCTTGTATATTCTGTGTGCCGCCCTCCCCCTACCCAGCCTTAGTAATGGCAAAAAACTTCAGCAGTACTTTTGACAGGCTGTGGTCTTTTGGACATGTATGTTTCTTAGGGAGAGAGAATCCAGAACCTGTAGAAACTCCCTTGAAGACCTGCTGCTGAATGCCATTTGCTGGTTGTGTGTCGTGTTTATAGCCAGCTAACCTGATCAGGTTAATCAGCTAATGCTGATGATCTAGGGTGAAGTTACCTATTACAATTTGATCAGGTATGATGGCTTGCTGCCATAGAAAAGCTTATTTTCCATACTACTGTCTTCTGCTTCCCCCAGTCCCTTTTGAACATGACAGGTGCAGGGCTGAGGAGTAGCAAACTCTTCTCTGCCATCATATGTAGTACACTTCTCGATTTCAAGTTCTTTAAGTGTTCTATGAGTACAATGTTTCTTGACGACATTTCTCTTTCCAATTAGCTAATATTAGACTACTTCTGTATTACTTAAGTGATTTTTAATACTGGGGGGTTTGGCTTCTGAAATTCTTATTTTCTTATCAATCTTTTAATTCATCAGTTTTGGTAACAAATAATGCTATTCCGATCAGTTCTGCTTATGTGAATTTTATGTTTTGCAATGCATCTCTCCCATTTAATGTAAAACTAACAAAAAATAATCTCTATTTCAGTACACTTTAAAACTAATCTTTTAACTGAAGGCAATTACATTCCAGCAGTTTTATGGATTCTCTTCTGTATCCGCAATTGTGGATCTGCTGGGTATGTGCTGGATATAAAGATGGCAACTGCAAGTGCTGTCTTTCTCAGAAATTTGGTGAAATCATTTCCCCTAGAAAATGATACCACTTCGAGGCTCTATCACAGCAATGCTGAATCAATTGGTTGGCAATATAATGAGCTAGAAGTTCAAAACTGGCAAATGTTTGCAATGTGCAAAGTTTAACTAGCATTAGCTTCTACGATAGCAAAGTCCTACCTTGAAGTTTATCTGCCCATTGGGCAAGCGGTTCGTATGTATTTTGTGCAGAAAGTAGATATCTTTAATAAACAGGTTGAAAACTGGGATGACTATTTTCTCTCGATTGCTGTTGGCAGTCTGAGATCGCTGGGCTGCTCCTTGCAGGGCTGTGCGGTAATTACAGAAGTTGCTGGATGGATCCATGTGATGCTGTTTTTATGGAGGGGGGGGAAAAGGCAATCAAGTAATACATGTTTCCTAAATATACAAAGCTTTGATCTAACTATCAGAGTTTTCATTCTTTCTTAATTCGCTGGGCCCCTCTTTAAACTATCAAGACAGAGTGGCTTATACTGGTCAGGTCTGGATTCAAGTTTTTCTAATTTCTATCTTGTTTGAAAGGAGGGTTCTGTACTGGCTTTACAGCTGTGCTTTGCTTCAGTGGCTAATAGAAAAATTTTACTGAAAAAACAAAATTCTAACTTGCTGTCACCAATCTTTATCCAAAGATGATTTCAATTAAGTTTTGTTTTCATTCAGATTTCCACTAGATGGAGTACTCTAATTAATTTTAAGGGTAGCAAAATTGCATTCACTTGAGTGAAAACTACCTTAATGTTAAACTGGAAAATATATGCTAGGAAGAAATAACCTAAAGAAAACTTGCATCCACTGTTCGTTACAGGCAAGCAGGGAGTTTGAAATTCAGGAAATTCTCTCCCTAAAGTTTATATGCTGGTGACATCTGACAGAGGTGCCTCTGTGATCCCTGATTTAGTAATTCCACAGTAGATGTTTGGATAAAACTATTTGCTGGATTTCTCTATAAAGTCTAAACTTTATTCATACCTCTAAAACATCAAATTTGGCTGTTTTGACCTTGGACCAAGTTTTCTTTAGCCGTGCCACAGGACTCAAGTTCATGCCAGCTGAATGGAGAGAGAAGAGACGAAGAAAGAAAGAACTGAGTTGAAAAAAATAAAAGGCTAACATAACTCTGTGTTTATGTAGCAGCACCACACATTTTGAAAGGCAGTTTAGCTTGACAAACAAGTTGTAGCTAACACTCATGCACCCACACATTAACCTGCCACTGGTGGATTCTGCCCCAGTAGAAGTGTGCATGCTGATGTGGTCAGACAATTTGGGGCAAGTACGAGCATAGTCTTGCCAGTCAGGTATAATGGAGTGCCTTTTGTCATCTGTGTTAAGAATACTCACAGATAATAGCCATCATTGAGTTGAAGTTTCCAATATTGAAGCATTCTCTTGCCACATCAATGAAAAATTCCACCATTCTTGTACGCTGCTTTTTCTTTACAACCTGAAATAAACAAGATCTGTTAAGAGGGAAGGGATGACCTGAATTTTGGATGGGATGTTCAGTCAAAGGCTTATTGAATAGACATTTCAAGACTTTATCCAGCTAAATCTTACGATGATGGAGGCCTGAGGGTATTTTGTTAAGATTAGTTTTTAATAAAATAGCAGAAGTATTTGGGGCTACTATCAATTATTTCTCCAGTTGTGGTTGAGTGTAAATCTTTGTTTATACATAAAGTTTAATGTCTTAGGGAATCTCCTAGAAACAAGCCGGACAGTCTCAGCTATTTCCTGTTACTGGAAAAAGGAGATAACATGAAGCTGCTATCAGAAAGAGTACATGCAAAAATTTAAACCTCTGAAGAAGGGGGGAAAGCAGTAGACAGACATAAGACCAAGGACATGTAACCTGAATGTGAGAAGGAAACATTACCATGTCCTGATTTTCTCATTTTACTGTGCATACTGTTAAACGACCTCTTCATAGCAGGAAGTGATGGTGATCAAATACAAATTCCCATTCATACAAACATGCACAGGATCTAGCAAATGATGCTGAACATCTGCATTGCAGTTTCTTTTACAAATGGCAAAGTAAAATCAATAGATAGCACAGTGTCCAAACTTTGTTTCCAAAAGCCATAAATCTTTCTCTCTTTTTTGCTTGGTTTTTTTACAGTTAGTAGCATTTCCTAGATTACGTTCATTCATCAAAATCTTTCCTATATTTAGATCTAGAAGTTTGGTCTGGCTTATATAAAAATGGCTCCTGAGTGGTGACTGCAGACTAGTTCACCAGGGAATTACCTTTTTTTTCTTAAAAGAACCTCTTACCTAAATACTTCAGTTACGTGTCATATCAAAAGAAAATGGTTCAGTAGTTAACAGCTTGGCTTAGCCCTTGGTATGCTAAAACCTTTGCATAACTGGTTTACTAATTGTATTAGCCGTATGAGCCAGCTCTGGAAGATGTCGTGATGTGTTTTTGAAATAAGTTTCTATGTAGAGCAGTAAAACTTAAATTACTAGGATCAATACATCAGACTTTGTGAAACTCCAGTAGGCATCTGGATTTCCACAGAAGACCTACTGACCAAGTAGGAATAGAGAGAAAAATTTCCATTTGCTAGAATTGGTGCCTATTAATAGGAATCTAAAAAGACAGAGAATACACATGCATTTAAAAAAATAATTAAAAATAGTTTCTCGGGGAAGTATTCCTTCCCTTTCTTTTCTTATTATATGATAAAAGTTACTTCAACATCTAATAAGGCTGTTCTCTTTTTTTTTTTTTTTTTTTTACCTCTCTACTACGCCACTTTCTTTCCAGACTTCTGAAGAAAGTTTATTCCTGATTTTTCCACAACAAAAATGAATATATGACAGTGCTAATGGTATCTACATGCAGTGGAAGGATGGCTGTTTATTGGTAAATCTGTGTCTAAAGCTGAGCACCTTTTAAGAATGCATGAATGTATTTAAAAGTAAGGAACAAAAAATATCCAAAAGAGCTCATAACTCAAACTCCACACAAGTTTCATTTCACTGCATGAATAACGCTACTATAGAAGCTACACAAAACTAGAGAATATATGCAAAGCCAAACATAGCCATGAACTCTTAATCATATAAGCATACATAATAATTTAATGCTTGAGTAATGCCATTATCTTTAATTGCACTGCTAATGTTTAAATCTGTTAGACCACTGCCTGCCTTTTGTCCTTAAGGTCAGGATCATTTCAGTGTCTTGTTTTGTATGAATACCTACCCGACAAATCTCTGTAGCCACCAGCATACTGAGGCAATTGAACCAATTGTCATAGGCCTCCAAATTATAGGTTTTGGTCACATCGCCTCGGCACTGGAAGAGAACAGGCCACATGTTAATCCTACCCGGTATCATGATAAAGTCAACATACCAAAAGATAAACTTCCTTTTCATGTCTTGATAAAATCTTGTTGGATGTTGCTTCAGGCATGAGCTTAATGAAGGTTAGGAAATGTCTGCCTTTCTTGCACAGCGTATACTCAAATCATGGAGGTTCTTTAGCTTGGTTTTTCTTTGTTTCTTTTTCCCCTCCACACCCCTTCTTGTACCTTGTGATTATCCAGGGAGTCCATGTGGTTGACAATCTGCATCAGGTCCTCTGGGTAAATGTTGCTCACCCTTTCCTGTGTTTGGAGAGATGAGAGATCGTCACCGTACAGACAAACGGAGTTCAGTGGAAAAATGCACCAATAAAGCCAAAGTTAGGAGAACATTTTGGTAATGTTCATTTTCCTGCAGTGTAGATGTGTGAAGTGTTTTTATAGGTGTAGCTAATTGGTCTTGTTCATTACTTACTATTTTTTGATTAAAACATTAAAGGCTTTTGGTGAAGACATAGCAAAATTCATATTGATGAGTATATTAATATTTAGTAAATTAAAAATTAAATAATTTGCACAAATTAGTGTCTCACCAGTTCAACATAGGTCAGCTGCTGTGCCAAAATCAGAGGGTCACAGCACACACTCAGGATGTCCTTTTGACTTGACTGTGGCTTGGTTTTGAGGATGGTGCCTTTGTCAGTAACAGGTTGCCGGAATTTCTCTCTGATTTCCTGGTACTGGCTCCGTGCAGAGAGGGCCATCAGGAGATTCTGTGTCATCTGGCTAATGATCTTTTTCACTGTTCCATTTTCCTAAGTAAAACGCAGAAACAATAGCTGCTAAAAACCTTTAGCTCTTGTAGACACTGATTGCCAAAGAATTTCTGACTGTGAAAATAAATGCCTATTATTAATTTTCTTTCATTTTATCTGAGCTGATTATCCTGTGACAAATGAATTTGTCCTACTGCCCACGCAACTTCATAACAACACTGTTATGGCTGCCTGTCTTCCCAACTCTGTTTCACTTGCTTGGCTGGTCTGCTCATTGCAGCAGTTTTTGGCTAGTACCCCATTTCAAAGGCATCAGGGTAAACAGCTTAAAAGTGGGTATAGTGAAAGGTGGTTGAGTTGCTTGCACAAGGCTTCTTGGATCCTCTGCGTACCAAGGGCCAAAAAGTCCTTTCTCATTCTGATCAGAACCACTGATGATCAAGTCTATCTAGCCCAGGCAGACTCCAGGGAATTCACATTATGTCCAGGAACATACCCCTAAATACCCTGGCTTGGCTTTGAACAACTGGAGCATCCAAAGATTTAGGTGAGAGCACAATATACATCATGTTCTTGACAACTAAAATGCTTTTCTGTTCATCAGGTGCAGATTTTAAACATAGGATCTATAAGGATACACACTGGTAAAGCCACAGAAATGTAATCTGTCCACTCAGTGTTTTGACAACTAAGGCAAACTGAATTCCTTATGCCATTGATTCTCTGTGTCCTATAGACATTTTTCCATGAGGACAACCCTAAAGTGCTATCTTGATTGCACACCCTCCTCTGTCCCTCCTGTTACTGCTTTAAATGGCCCAGGTTCTCTGAACCTCTTCTTCCTGCTGCTGGAAAAACTAAGTCTACCAAAGACAGTCTTTCTCTTTCCTACACAACTGTACTTTTGCTTTCATGCAAATTATTTCTCCTGAAGTTAGCAACAAGGTTAACAGTTAGTTTACAACCTGCTGTGCTGGTTTCTGCCAGGCAACTGGATACACTAGAAAGAACCGCAATGAATCTCTGATTGTTCAAAGGAGCCACTAATGTGCCGTGATGACTGAAATTACGTAGCATATGTGAGAGATGATGACTACCAAATACTTGTATATTGCATTCTATAATTAAGCAATAACAGTGTCAGAATGTTGCTTTACAAGGCAATAATCTGACTCCCAAGTGAAATCACATGAAAAGCTGAAGGCAGTGTAGCTCATCTTGATGAGGCAACTGGATTATCACTGCACAGCAGCTGTCTGGAGCCATTTTGGATGTTGTACTACAAGTGTTCAGAAATGCCAAGGGAGTGTGGTGGGGGGACAAAACTAAAGCACTAATTCTGCTCTCTGGTACGCTGAGCTTTCTATTGTAAATAATTTGATTTCAGCCACTATGTCTCCAGGAAGAGGCAGACTTTCTAGACATGGATCATAGAGAACCAAACTTGAAGGCAGGTGAGAGTATCGCAGATATGATGTGAAAGTGAACAAAGGAACTGCAGTGACAGGGAGAACTATGGCTTACTTAAGCTATTGTGAATTTATTAGTGTCTTAATACTTGGACAAATGTCCTTGAAGTTTTAGCAGTTTCTTTTCTTTTCTTTATTAGTCTTGCCCTAAATTTTCTTATACCTTTGGAAAATAAGTCAATGAGTGTACAATAACTTGTCCTGAAGTTTAAGTTCAAACAAGACATTTGTACTTCATTTGGGCTGCAACCCTGGCTGTTGCTTTAGCTATTTGGTATGCTGTCTGATATCACTAGGACAAGCACCTGACTGCTTTGTGCGAGTTCTCAGTTTACTTTCTATCCCATGTATGGACAATAGTGTCCTAAGGTAATTTGGAAAAGCTTTAAAACACAAAATAAAACCCCAAACCATTACCAGAATCCATTGCTGAAGCACAGTATGGGTAATTTCTTGTGGTAACAAATACTGAGAGCAAGAGCTGGTTTTTGTCAGTGTCAAATTATACTTCCTAGGAATCAGATGTGGCATAGCTCTTCACTGATCAAACTTGACATGTAGGCTTGTTAAGGGGATAAATATGACGATGCTGTAATTAATGGATGTCATTAGATGCCTTGGACACCAGAGAACTGAGCCACTCCATGAAGACATGTTTTTCTCTAATGACAATTTATTCATAACAGAGT